AGTATTAAGAAACCGAGGCTGGTTCTAGCAGCCAGTGGTTCTAGAGCAGGACTGCTCTCTTCTGTTGCTGGATCAAATACACAGAGATTGTTTCTACACAGGTGAATTTTAATTACCTTGTCTTACTTGAAAGAGAAAAAGAGAGTTTCAGTCTGTCTATTTATAGCCTGTTCACACTATAGTATCTGAATGCCTTGCGTGTATGTGATACCAAATACACTGGCATAGACCCAGGCATCAGAACAGGTGGTGCCATTGAAGGTGATGAGTGACAGGGCCTTAAATTGTAGTCTAGCTTCTGTTTTGTGTAAGATGAGTCACATTTTTTTCTAGGAAGTGAAAAATAAACAAAGAGAATATTTAGTTAGAAGGTAATAGGAAGAAGAGTAGACAGCAAAGACTTGGGGAAGAGATAAAACTTACATATGCCTGAAATGAGGACGAATGAGAGGGAGAACTTGAGGGATTTCCTCGCAGGTCCTCTGGTTTGCCTGGGGACTTCAGGCACTTAAGGTTTTTGGAATGAAGTACAGCACGATGTCACTTCCTCAGTCGTGTAATACAGTGTGTAACCCAGCCTACAGTAAGAACTAAACATGCAATAGATGTGACTCAGGAATTCTGAACTGTAAATGCAGCCAATCATAATGTACTTTTATTATCTTTTCGACTTTAGGAAGTGCAGTGTAACAAACTGGTTTTTGTGTGGTTTGGTTTTGTTTTGGGGTTCTCTAGTTATTTTCTGTGAAAATTCCAATGTTACAGCATATATTAAATTCTTTGACATGCTGCAAAATAACTTTTCCCATAATTGGCAAGTTATGGAAGTGAAACACCTAAGAAATATTCCTGTATGCATGTGAAATGTTTGATACCTTATGTTTTTCTGAGAAGTAACGCCATGATACATTTAGTATTAGACTATTAGCAATAGAACTAGATCACTTTGGTACTGAACTGTATAACAAGACATGAAATACTGACATACATCAACTCAACTAAAAGTTACATAGAATCGAAGAAATTGTGACAAGACCCTTGAAGGAATATTAAAACAACTTATTAAAGAAAGCTTATATAGAGGTTTAGTTTCAAAGCTGACAGCGATATAACTATAGAATCATGTACTCTTTTATTTTGGAAGGAACATTTGGAGGTCAACTAGAGCAGGTTTTTCAGAGCCTTGTCCAGCCAAGTTTTGAATATCTTCAGGGCTGGACACTTCACAGCGTCTTTAGGCCAGTGTTTAACTACCCTCTGTTCTTCAACTCCAGGGTCCCCTATTTGCACACGATTCCCGTTGGAGATGTGGGCGCTGTAGATCTGCGTGTCCCCATGCTGTTCCATACAGTACCCTAATGCACGTGCTGGTGAGTGTACCTCACAAGCTCGCATTCACGCACCAAAGGCGTGGGTTCTCCTCCCTCACCAAGCCCCGTACTGACCACTTGCTAGCTGGAGTACAGGACCTTGCATCCTCCAGGAGGGATGCTGTGCTGTCTGGCCTGGGCAGAGATCATGATGCAGTCACTGGAGTGACTTCTGGCAGTGTCAGACCAGGTTTTGACTGCTGCTGCTTCCTCTCGAAGGTCTTTCCCACTGGTGCAGATTCTCATACATATATATTTTTTTATACTTCTTTTCAAGATGACTCCTTTATTTCAGACATTTCTTTCTAATGCCCTAGTTACTCTTGCTCTTCAACATGTTCAGTTTTGGGCAAATATCCTATCAGACAACTTTGCATATTTAATTTACACACACAAAATTTCCTATCTTTATGTTTGTTACTATTGAGACCATTTTGCTAAGGATGGGCCTTGCAAGCACCCCCCGCTATGTCCGCTGCCTCACTAAGCAAAGGCCCTACAGTTTTCTTAGCCTTTCTTTCATTCCCAGTGTTCTTACAGTAGCCTTTCTGTTTGTCCTTATCAGCCCTTGCTAGTTTTGATATCAGCTGAGCTTTGACTTTCCTAACTCCTCCTTGCAGGCAAAGACGACATGTCTGTATCCCTTCTAGGTAATCTGTCCCTGCTTCCTTTTTCTGGGTTTGGGCTCAGTCAGGGGTTCTGTGCTCATCCTAGGTGACAATAGTGGCAGATGGCTGTAAGAGATGCCACACTTACCTTCCTCCACAGTGACACTGGCACAATTACGCTACCGTGACACTGAAATGAAGTTGTTCTTGCTCATTTAAAGCATCAGCATTGAATTTTTCAAAATTCACTACTCTGTATAGCTATTTTTAATATAGCTATGTCCAGATTGACAATAAGTACTTATGTATATAATCTATTACATTCAATTCTCCAAATCAATCTGCCAGCTATGAGAGTCTCGCTGAATTAACAAACAAAAGTTAGTTGTCTATTAGAAATAATATGTTTAGAGGATATCCACAAATGCAGTTCAAGTCTATGGTGTGTGCAGTTATTACACTGTTTTTACTTATGTGGTAAATATTTAGTTAAGAATTACAACCCTTAACATAGAAATTCAAGCATTCAGTTTCATGCTTAGTGACCTTTTTCGGTGGATAGTTTTGAGTTCTGTTGCTTACATGCACTGATCTATTGTAGTAACATATTTTCTTGATTTCTTTTTTATTTTTTTTTGAAAATATATAACCATGTGAAAACCTTCTGTAGTAGGGGAGTATTATTTTGTGTGTTGAACTCTATCTGCTTTTCTTATTTGAAGTCAACCAGTAAGAATTATTGAAAAAAGATGCAGATTTTGAGACACCTCTTCCAAATGTGGGCAGCAGCCTGTAGCTCTGAGCTTAAACCTTTGTCACAGAGATGGCCAAACTGCTTTCTGTGTGTATGTGTCTAGATTAATCTAAGTACAAAACATAAGCTGGCTTGCGTCTTTTTAAGACTAAAAAGACAGGCTCTTACTGAATGGATTATCAGTGGCAATACTTGTCTCAGGCCTTATCTCAGAGTCTCTCTTCACCCTGAGTGTGAGCTCTGCTGTCCTACTTCCAAGACCCGTCCCAACCTCTGATAACAGTGCGGCTGGAATCGTGTATTTCTTCCTGAAAGTGTGCTGCTGCCTAACACCAGAATTAAAGCCAAAACTAACAAAACCAATAAAAATCATGTTGTGGGGGAGTAACAAATAAATTGAAGCATGAGCCACAGGCAGATGGTTAAACCAGTCCCTGGCAGGTGAGTCCTGTGTGTTAGTCCGGATGCCTATATTTTACCCAAACACTCTGCACTGCAAAATGAATGAGCAGCCTGTGGAGGAATGGATGGAATCCAGGGCGGTACTTGCGTCCACCCTTCTTCATCAGGAGTGTGTTCATTACTGGATGACAGAACTGCATCTTCTCTGTCCCCTTCAAATACTATGTTTTTATTCCTCTACTACTGATCTGCAAACACTGCAAGCTCTCCTTGAAGGTTTTTTAAACAATGGAGTTGTGCACCTGCAGTATTGAGTAGGTTTAGTTTTGGTCTTGGAACAGCAACTGGAAATGAAAAAGATTATTGCATAATTGTTGTATCTGTCCTATGCAGGAGCTTTTAAGAAGGGGCACGTCTAGTTTCAAGTCTTTGTTAACAGTCTTTTCTCTCATCAACAAATGTTCTATTTCCTTGTCTAAGCACATAAAAAATAGTAAAATACCTACAGAATAGTAAAATACCTACAGAATGAAGCAGAATAGAAGACTTTCTGCCTCTGAGGAAAAGAGAGGACTAGCAGCATAAAGTGGTGGTGGGAAGAAGTGTAAAAAAAAAAAAAAAAAAAAAAAAACATGCTGTGATACTACTTCATATCTTTGAGTGCCAGAAAGTAACACAATGTATTTTGGCTTTGTGATTACTGTATAAAAATAATAAAGCAAAAACTGTGCTTGCACAAAAATACCCCTGTCCCATTGTTTCTTCCCCCTTCTCACCCCTTTGATTAAAATGTAAGGAGTTCTTGAATGTTTGCTGGTTAGACCCAGTATGAAAGATGATTCTTGCACCAGTTCAGTTTCAAAAGGATGGCCAATAGTAGTTCCCTTCTAGACCTTTACTATTTGCATGAAGAAAATTTTGTTCTGAATAAGGTGTTCTCCCAAGCACTGTGTGGGATGCTTATCTTGTTTATATCAAATAGTTGGACTACCACCAAATTCTGATCTGGCATTTGGAAGGACTGGATGTCTGAAAGTTGGGTTTTGTTTGGATATCTGAAAAACTAATTTAGATTATTTTTTTGAGTAATATTTTGCTGTGTGGTGTTTTGGTTTGGTGGTGATTTTTATATTCTTGCTATTGATAACAGAGGTTTCTGGAAGGCGACTGAGAGGATACTTTATGTATTATTCTGGGTATATGATTTCCCAAATTAGAAATCTTGCTAGGCAAAAGAGTGTTTGTTTGTCTAGAAATGTGCTTACTTCTACTATAGTGAAACTACTACTTTAGTAGAAGATTGTAGTTCTCATCAGCTGCATTAAAGTGTAAATAAGCCCCATCTACCTGCCTGGATGCTTTGAAAACTTGTCTGCTGAATCTGTCTTTTTCTGTTTTGGAGAGGGCTCTAATGATAATCTAAATTTAATTGTTGAACCCGCTGTTGCCTATAGTATTTCTTCATGTCCACAAAATTAAATGGATCCTTATTTTTAGGAGTTGTAAAAAGTGACAGAGTACATGGGTGTCATTGCTGAGCTAGGAGCAGCTGACGGTTGTGTATAACTTTGAAGCTGTACGTAAGCCGATGGGTTTTGTTCAGTAGAAAAATGTTGTGTGTGCACCTTGTGAGATGCAGTGGTTCTACAAAGCTGCCACAAGATTTTGTGATAAAGTTTTCCCAGAAATACGACTGCTGGATATATTTGTACCAATGGTCTGTAGGTTTCTTGAGTATTATATAGTTAAAGAGTTAGAAAATTTATTACATTTTGAGGTGCGAATAGCTTGTTTGGTTTTAATTCCCGATCTTAAAACCGAGCTTTTTCCTGTCTGTTTTTGCAAATACAGAACCAGAGAATAAAAATGGGAACTCCTGGATCAGGACGGAAGAGAACTCCAGTGAAGGACAGGTTTTCTGCAGAAGATGAAGCTTTGAGTAACATTGCCAGAGAGGTTTGTTATTTTCAAATTGTCTTAAATTCAGAAATAGAGATGAAAGCAATCTCATCTTCCGGAAGAAGTTTAATTTTTTAAGCAGTGCATTAAAAAGTGTAATTAGCCAAAAATATGACAAATATTACAAACTAAGAGTATTTATGGTCAAAAGAATCACATATACTGAAGTGTTGTCACATTGATACATTAATTGTATGACTACTGTAACATCACGGGATCATGCTTAAGCTTAGCAGATACTTCTGCAGATCATTATATGCTTAGCTAAAGAGAAATGAGAAATCCAGTTGCTATCTCACATCTAAAACTGAAAAAATTCCACATTTAAGCAATTGCAGCATGTAGTATTCTTAAGATGATAAGTATAGTGTATTAGTATTAAACGAGTAATAGTAATTATTAAAAGGTGTTTGTAATATATTGTTTCATGTGTGAAAAGTGACATTTCTGTCAAAATAAGCCTAATACATACACTATACCAGGACTTTCTCGACAGAGTCACCACCTGAAAAAGAGAGCTGGAGGTAAGCAGCCAAAAATGCAATTAACAAGAAGCTGATAAAAAGGGGAAATTTGTCCCATCGGATATAGGAAGGAGGCAGCTGGAATTTAGTCTTACAGATGTCTATTTGGACTTGAGTTTTTCTGGGAGGAAACACTGAGTTGGAAACAAAAGCATTAGTACTGTTTGTATACTGGTGGATACAGAAGCTTTGAGCTACACTATCTACAAAGCTGCTTGCCCTATTTGACATAAGTACAAAATGCAAATTCTAATTGGCCTTGTAATGTAAACTGGAGTGTGTGTGTGTAGTGTATATATATGTGTATGTAAGACAATAGGTAGGTGATAGGTCTTTGAAAACACAGTTTCTGTATGCATTTTCAAATGTAGCTCTCATAGACTGTAGGCCATGGAAATGCTCTGTCAGCAAAAAAATATTTTCATTTAGTTGGCATCTTTCCGGAAAGCTATGTTCACACCATATCTAATGGAAGTTCTCACCCTACCAGGTATATTCTGTGTGGGCCTTTGCATCATGTACAGTCTCACTCATCAAAAAGGTCTCAATAGCAAGGTGTAATAAGTATTATCTTACTTAAAATTACTGTGGGGCTTTGTTCTCTTACATTGCTAACCTCCTCAATAAAAATCTGAGCATGAGCGTAAATTAAACAAAAATGAAGGGGTTTTTTTCCCCACCTTAGTGCTAAGTTAAACTAATACTAGGTCTTACAGCTAGAGGTCTGTGTAGGACAAGCTGGCCCTTAGATCCAATGCAGCTGTTGTCATTGAATTGGTAGCTGTAATTCGTGGTATTAGCCAACTTATTCTAAAGAAAACTTTTACCTTAAAGGAACAGAATGCATTTCTTGGGATGTAACAGCAGAGGCCGGTTAACAAAACTAAGTTCTGCCTTTAAATAAAGTCTGATTTTACTGTGCCATACATAGGACTTATCATATGAGGCTGAGGAAAAGTTTTCAGTTACTATGCTGACATAGGGCATGCCTGTTCTCAGTGTGTGAATACCTAGAGTAGATGTACTTCACCGTTCTGAGGCCGTTATCTCAGCAACATGGCTTGCTTATCTTCTTATTGTCAAGGGGTGTTTTGTTCCTCAGCTTCCTCTTCTGAAATTACCTTTTTAGCAGATGTTACTTACAACAATTGGATTGAGTCCTGTAATCCAGAAGTCAGATGTCTTGTGAGGAAAATGTTCCTAAAAGGTATTCTAGGTATCAAGAGATGATAAACAGAATATGCTGAAACAAAAGGCTGGCACTCGGGATCACCTGCATGGAAAAACTGTGTAGAAGTGCTCTGGGATTCAGAGCAGTTACAAAATAGTGCTAGGAATTACCAGAGTTTGTAATACTAGCGAAGACTTCTAGTGTAGCGTATGAAGTTTCATGGCTTTTTCGTCCAAAAGTTCAGATGTCAGAAAGCACTAATTTTATTTTTTCTCACCCCTCAAATTTGGCAAAATTGAGGTTTTGTTGTTCTATGGGATGTGTCAAAAACATGGTATCTTCCCTTTGGTGCCAACAAATACCTGCTTTCTAGGAAATTTTGCGTAAAGAATTTTTTCGTACTGATCCAATAAATTCATTTCTATATAGTCATTTTTCTGCACTGGTTGTGTCTGATGTCATATGAAAGTATTTAATGGAAGACAAGGGCACTATCATAGGATCTGAGGGGCTTGGTCAAACTACTTCCTCCTTGTGAGATTTTGTTCTCTTCACCTTTCGTCTGCATTAGAAAACTTTTCCTGTGTTGGTTGTGCCTCCTCCCCTTCTTCTTGTAGCACTAGCACTGTTGTGTAGAGAGTTCTTTCATATCTTTTTCTTGCTGTGGGAGTTTGCATGGAGACAAGCTCTTCTGCAATGCCTGTGCACTAAACAAGGCACAAGTATGCTAAAACATCAACATTGGAGCGAATTACCGCCTTATTCCAAGAACTTCTGAGTTACCAGACCTCTTCCTTCAGGACTTACGTTGTCTTCTGTTGTGTGTTGTCCTTTCTGGCACTGAATTCCCTGTTCTCGTTGAAACTGAGCAAGAGTGAAGGTGATGTACATATCCAGGGATAGGGACCTATGCATCCTTTTCTGGAAGCAATGCACTCTCCATATTATTCAGTGTTTTAAGTGAGATTGGTTTTACCTTGGTACAACAGGGAGGATTACCAGGTTATCATGTTTGTTTCAAAAGCTGCAGGAGCAGGTGGTAGGTTATACTGTCCATGTGTTCCCTGCAAAGAGAAAAGGAACTCTTGAGTGTATATGCACACAACTACACTAAAGTGGAGTATTGGCAAGTGTCTTCTGATTGTAACAAGGTTAATTTGAAGTCAGTTAATATCTTATTAAAAAAAATAAAAATGCTTATCTCCTGAAAATATGAAGGGTACCTTTATACCACCTTCTGGTTCTTTCTCTAGCTGTTGTAATGGATTCTGAAGCTGTTCGCTTTCTCAGATTGACAAAGAATATAAACCAGCTGGTATGGGAGGCAGTTTCTTCAGTCTCTTGTAAAGCTCTCCCTTTCCTAATAATAGGTAGGGGTTGTCTAGTGTGACTTCAGGCTCCTGTCCTGATTAGGTTCTTATGCAGAAATCCTTTTGGTTTAACAGATAACTCAATAAATAGAAATTGAGGCTCATATTCTTGAGGTTATAGTCACAGTCTACACTGGATACAGCTGATACAGTCTCATGATCTGTTTTCCCTGTGGTTTTGTTGTGGAGATTCTCTGCTTATAAAGCTGTTTTGCAGAAAGAGTATCTTCAGCCGACATCTGCATCACTGCTTCACTTGTCTTTGTAATTTACAGACAAGTTGTTGTGTTCATTTTGAATATTCGGCAGTAACCTGTTGTTTCCAGGCATCTCTTATGATTACTTGAGACATCTTTCTCAAAGACCAGCCTTAGATGCAAAAGCAGAGGTTTCAGTCGCTTCTGCATTCTTACATGAGCTTCAATTCAAGTTCAGATACAATGAACATCGTGCCAAAAAGTGAGAAGAGTTTGACTCTTGTCATCTTGCCAACCTTAACCCCATAAGCAGCAGTTTGAAGGGACAATGAAGATTTATCCAGTATATCCTTTCTTACCATGCTTGCAGCAGCAACCTTTCTGTTCTTCAAGGCTGAATAACTCTAGGTGAAAAAACTAGAGTTCATGGACAACAATAGCATCACTGTTCACTTAATTTCCTCCTTGTTACATCTTGTCTGTATTTTTTGAGGAACTGTTCACATCCCTCTGTTTTCATTGTACAGGAGGAGCCTGGAAGCTTTAAGAGGTTTTTTTCTCATGGAGAGAACAGAGATTTATTTGGATTTAAAATTCACTCTCAAACTTTGGGTAGAGTGCATTTGTTCTTATTTTGGTAAATGTCACGTAACTTAATTACCAGCGTAAAAAAAGCCAGTTCAATATTTCAAAATGTTTGAAGGTTATATCATGAATTTAAAAACAGTTAACAACATAGTTCAATCATTCTGAATCTATTCAAGGTTCAGTACATGTTTCTCTCTGCATACAGCTTTTCTTGATAAAACAAACCCCCAAAGAACCCCACCCTCATGCAGAGATTGTCTTTGTAGATGCTAGATGACTTTCCAATTTATGTTTTAATAAGAGATCACTTAAATATTTTTAAATTAGCTATTTCTACTTTAGTATTAATACAAAATCTTGTTTGCTGCTGTTTTTGATAGTGGTTAAGGGTATTTTATAGGAGATAAAGTATTATAGAGATTTTCTAATCTACATATGGATCTGCATAACATGGAAAAAGAATAAGAGACATCAGAAATGAAGAATCCTAAACCTTTGTCATGTAAGCCTTAAGATTTTGTTGTTTATAGTCTTTGCTTTATAGATAACTAGAGAAAGAGTAGGCGCATGAGAAGCAAGTGGAAGGAAGGTATTTCTGAGGAGGTGTAAGGAGTACATTTGGCACATATGTGATGGTGTGGGTCCATGAGACAGTAAGGAGATGAGGAGGGTGAAAAGCAGAATACAGAAAAATGAGCGACAGAAGAGAGGAATAGCACGTTCATGTAATAAGAAATGATTAAATAAACTTTATATTGCAGTGTGTAGTAGTGTGTTAACATATGAGGTGAATGTTTTAAAGTACTCATCCTGATTCTTTGCCAGAGCTGGCAGAATGCCCTGGTGTTCTGTCAAACACCCTGTGGCAGAAGCAGAGCCAGGTGCCTGGGCCGGGGTAGCCATCGCCCTCACTGCTGCTGTCTGCTGGAAGAAGCAAAACCTTCCTTGCCTGGGCTTCCTGTGCTGGAAACTGCACAGCTGTAAATATTGCGAAACCCTTGTCAGCAAGAGAAATGAGTTATACGTGTTATAGCCCATGATGACAAAAAAATTCTAATTTTTCAGTGAAAACCATTCATATTTTTTTTAAAGCTGAATAACGTATTTTAGTATAGCCTGTATTTTATCCCTATTAAGCTTTTATGATGAATCTGAACTAATTAATGAATGACTTTTTCTACAGTATGAAAATTAAAAATGAAAGAGTCTTGCTTTCTAGTGAATTCCTCCTTGCAAGCAAGGGGAAGGAGAAAGATCCTGTAGAGACAGATTTTATGCTTCTCCTTGCTCAGCATGGGGGGAAGCTTCTGCCATATCAATCCCATGTGCTAGTATTCTTCTTACCTTGGTGAAGAACTTGATCATTGCTGTGAGGAGACTGAAAAAACATCAGAAAGGAGACTCCAGACTCAATCTTTACAAAGACATTCAAATTAAAATCTGGAAATCTGGTCTTTTTCCCTTTCTCCTTTTTTTCTTGCCAAAAATCTTGGATATAACTGAAGAACTAAATGTTATCCTTGGAAGCTGAGATAAAATGGTTTGAAAGGTTTTCAAAAGATTGTGGCAGAATATGTATCAAAAAAACCACAAACAAATGAGTAAGTGGAGACGGTTTTCTACATGACTGTAAGTAGTTGTTAGTAATTGTGTTTTAGGTGAAAGTGAGGAAACTCACCATGTCATCTGTATTGGAAGGAGAACATTCTCTTAATAAACATATGGAATAAAATAATCTAATCAAAGTGAGTACTGCTTCAAGGTAGTAGCTTAACTGCTTTAAAACAGCCAGAATCGTCATATTCTTCTAGAATGAAATGCTGTTTATGCAGGTGCAAGGCAACATTTTTTTGCCAGTAATGCTTTTTGTTACCTATTTTGAAATGAGGAATTCCAGAACTCAGCAGTGAACAGATGGCTTTGTTTTGTTACTCCGAACAGAGCTAATACCCAAAGAAATGCAGATATGGCACTTGGTTTAAAATCACATATTTGTCCTTAGGGTAGAAGGTAAAAGATAAGGAGTAGTATAAGTATGTTCATATAGAAAAAATATTTACAGGTTCAGTTATTAATCTTCCATTAATGTAGTTCTTTTTTTCCTAGCCAAACAAAGTCTTTAAGGCCTCTTCCTTGTGTTTCTTTCTACCCAATCTCTTTTATTACAAAAATCTTCTCTGTAGTCCTCTATTTCCTTTCTTGATGACTTCTCTGAATAAATTCCATCCAGAATTGTTGTATCTATACCTAATGGCTCCTATTTGCCCTCCAGAATATATAATCAAGCAAATTATTTCTATGTGAGCCACCAGTGTAAGTGTACTGGTATGGCTCTAAGAGGTTTGGATACCTCATCTCACATTTGCATTTGAAGTTTTCAAGAAAATTCAGCTATCGCGTATCTTTTTAGTGGTTGGAATTCCCCTTTAGAAACTTTTAAAGTAGAGACAGATTTGCTAGATCTTGGACAATCCACAGTTTAATTTTTACTTCAGGAAAATAGGAACTTGGTATGTTGTATCACTTTTTAACAAGCTATACTTCAATTAGTTGATTTTGTAATAGATCTTTATCAAATAATGTATTTTATTTATGTATGTCTGGTCTAAAGACTGTGTGAAGAATGATGACCAATGAAACTGAAATCAAGACTGTCCTGGCCAGTCTGTAAGCTTACTAAGAGTGGAATTTGTTTAATGTAAGCTGTAGAAAGCAACCTGCACTGACTCCCAAGCTCCTATGAGCAAGGAATAACGGTCTATTTAGAATGCTCTTCTATTTAAATACTAATTGAATTAGAAAAGCATTATAACATGACTGCCTGTCCTTTTGCATTTTTTTTTCCAAAAATAAGTAGTAGTTTAGATTTCCTTTCTGTGCTGCTTTGATAGTCCACACAGCTTCATCTTTTCACCTTCGTTCTGATCTGAAGCTGTTGTGGCACTGTGTTTCCCTTAGCAGATATTTAAAGACTTTATTTCAACATAGCTGAAGAATTTAATTTGTGAAGAGTTTGTTGGTGGAAATTTGTTTCACAACTTTTATGGGCTTTCTTCAGTAGCACAACGGAGTGAATAGCCGCACCCAGGAAGAAAACTATGTCCTTTTGAATGGTGGTTATTTCTTTGATAATGTTAATTTTGAATTTCAGTTACATAGTTATCAAGATTATTTTGAGTGCTCTATTAATACAATGAGGTCTACTCGCTAACAAATCTGATGAGAATAAGGAATTATTTGGTATGATGGTCTTTCAGATGGGAATGTGATTTGTCTCTTGCTCTAAGGTTTGGTGAAGGAAGTCTGAGAACTGTGCTTCCAGTTAACTTGCCAACTTGTCTGTCTTTTTGAAATTGTGTAGTGTTTTAGAGTAATCTCATCCCTCAGGTTAATAATTAATGTGATACCAAACCATTTTTTCCTAAAAATTTTCTCTAAAATATAAGATTTTTTTTCTTCAATTTCAGGCACCCATTTTATGACAAATGCTTATGGAATTCTGCTGTATTTTATCAAGGGTTTAGTAAATTGGAAGAAATGGGATTTCCCCTCTACTGTAGGAATGTGAAAGTTAGGTCTTTGGCTGTAGGACTAGGAAGGAGTGGTGAAATGTGAATTGTTCTTGTGTGAATCAGTAAATCAATGAACTTATTGTCTTTAACAGTAAAGCCTTGGCAGTGTGTAAAGGCTAGGTGCATGTGTCTGCTGGTCTCTAGACAGAAATAACCCCAGATATATCAGCTGTTTGAATCCTTTCTGTGCTGCATACATGTCTGTGTGAAAGTTCATGTGGGGCAGAGCTATGACTACAGACAGTTACAGAGCAGGGCTGCCAGTGAGAAAAGACTTCCTGTTGCATGGGAATTCCCTTGCTTGTGTGCTGTCATCAGGTAGAAAGAAAAGTAGCTTTATGCTGCTCTGAAAAAGGATTACATCGTGGCAGTCAAGAGTGCTGACACAGGCTTCGAATCATTTCATCTGAGTATCCAAAATAGAGAAAAACAGTCTTCATGAGTCATTTGAAGTTAAGACAAATTATTTTAAGTAATAGAGCTATAATGTGTTTGCCTTCTTTCTTGTCATTATAGATTTTTTTTTTTTACCTGTAGCTTAGTCATAATTTGAAGTTAAACTCTGAGTGAAATACCCTTGCCTTTTTCCTGAAGCACAGTGAAAGATAGTTATTTGCAATTGTTGTGAATTTTATAGTTTTCCAATGTTTAAATACACCTATGCGGTGATAGTGGGAAAAGCAGAAAAAAATTATCCTTAACCAAAGGCAAAATTCCATTGAATTTTACATTTTTTTAAAAGTTCTATGAAATTTAAATGTTTTGGATGTCAGGAGTTCTGAATTTTTGGCTGCTGGTGTTTCTCAGAAGTTTTAACATTAGGTAGACAAGTGGAATTTCTGGTGGAAAACCTGTCTTCAGTATCTCAGTATTTCAAGAATTTAAGAGAAAATTTTCAACTCATTATTCAAACATGAAGAAATTGAGCTTGTGTTTTTCTCAACTATTAGCTTTATGTCAAAAATGATTGCCTCATAATTAATTAACTGATTAAATTTGAGATAGCATTTAGGGTTTGAAAGACTTTTTTGGCTGAGGCTGGATAGAAAGTAGAGAAAATACAGTTGTATCTGCCAAGTAAGCAGGTTTCACAAGCAGTGCAGGAGATGCTACAGCTTTTTGCCACTGAAAAGGGGGAGGTCTCACTGCTGTCTGTCCTGCCCATCCCTTTTGCTGGATCTGGTGTTCGTAAGATCCTTGTACAAGCAGAAAACTTGGAAACTACTTTTAGTTGTTGTTGTTAACTTTCTGCTATGGTAGGTAGTTAAATTGGCTTACAGCAGATTCTGAGTGCTGGAGCTGTGTCCAAGGAAGGAGTTGGGAGTATAAGGGCTTAAATGAAAAGGTAGTTAAGTACCTTTTTGGTGACTGCAAATGTTGAAGTTCTTGAGGAACTGTAACCTTAAATTTCTTCCTTAAATTTTGTCCAATAATAGAGTTGGTTTTATGATTGCTGTTTGAAGTAATTTGATGCATAAGTGATATTTGCATCTTGAAATAATTTCAAATGATAGCAGAACCTTTAAATATGACATGAACAGTTGTGGCTGAGTATCTTTGTTTAGATTCCTTTTTGTTTTAATGTCTTTCTGTGGCCAAAGATTCTGCAGCTGTATACATGCCTCTTTAAATACTACGCATAGGCAAAGTCCTGTTAAAGTCCACAAGACATCAATTTTTAGATTTAGTGACAGTAATGTTTCTGACCTCAGTTCTTTTATCAACATGTAATTCTTTTGACTAGTAATGATATCTGTAAAGACTTGGGTATATACGCTTTCTGAAATTTCATTCTAGGAATTCTGATTTCTTTACTGCTTACGTATTGTGATGTTAGAATCTGAGTGTGGTTTTGTGAAAAGATTGTTAAATTTAATATTCAAACCATTATATGAAAAATGTGGTTTTAACTTCCAGTATTTTCAATTTGCTTGTAGGCAGAAGCCAGGCTTGCAGCCAAACGGGCAGCCCGAGCAGAAGCTAGAGATATACGTATGAGAGAACTGGAGCGACAGCAAAAAGAGGTAGTGTAAATCTTCAGGAATTATTGCAAATCTTTACTAAAGTTCTTAATGTATTTTATTTCTGTACTTACATCAGTTCTTGTCTCTCGGTGTAATTCAACTGTGTGCTTGTATTTTCAGCATCAGGCAACTGTTAGCTTCTGTCTCCTCGCACACCCCTCCTCTTTTCCCTTCAGTTATATATCTAAAGGAATAACATGCTTTGTATTTATCTGTGGATAGCACCTCAAAATATTAATCTGGACATCCATTTTGAACTTCCTTAATAGTTACATTCATATAGTGGAAAAAAAATCTGCTATACAAAATAGGCACTCTTCCTTTCAAATGATGAATAAAACATTTTTAATGTGATTTTAAATGCTAGCTTAACAGGCACAAGAAGATACTGGGATGCTTTACCTTTAACAAATGCAGTAAATTCAATGCTAGCAATCAAAATTGGACTAAGATTAATCTAAACGTTTCTCTTCAGATATTTAAAGGGCCGAGGCTTTCTCATTACTGCTGATTTGATTTTAAGTGAGCAGAAGAGAGAACATAATGACCATGTCCAGAACTCGGACTTGCATAAATAATTTTGCATAGAGAGGAAGAGTTTTCAACTTCTAAAGTGATATTTAACATTGTCTGGATTTGAGTTACCAGATATGTGGCTGAGTCAGCTGGTGACTTTTGTGCTTTTATAAGAACAATTGGTTAACACATATGGTGGTTTAATTGCTAGTTGCTGTGCAAAAGGTCCATGTAAATATGGGTAATTGGCAGCACAGCATAAATAATAAACATGACCGTATGCGTAATGTACTCAGCCTACAAAAAAGTAGAGAGAAATATTTTGCTCTGTTTTAATTTTATTTATAATATACTTAGTAACTGGATAATTTGGATATGTGATTTTGGATTTGCAGTTTTCAGTCAATTTCTTCCCATATGGATTATACTGAAAGTGTTCACAATAAATAGCTATTGTCAGGATCTTTATTTGGGGAAAAAAAAATAGAATTGGGATAATATTTACACATGCTGTTGTGTGCTGCTCCATGCACTTCTCCTAAAAAAAGTTTGCATTTCTTGAGCAAAAAACCCTAGGAACTAAGTTTTCAGCAGTCTGATTAATTCATGGTTATTGCATTTGATTCAGGTTTTATCATAGTGTGTAAAAGATCGAGAATTTATTATTTATCGTTATTACATTCAAATCCATATAAATCCTGATATTTAGGGCTTTTATTTTGATGTGGTAGTAACAAGTACAATTTACAACACATGTTTTTGGCTGAATTCTATGTAGTTCTCATTATTCCATACTTTCAGTTTTCTAACTGCTGCAGGTATCTGATACTATAGTGAAGATGATATGTCAATTAATTTAATTTTTCCAAATTTCTTATTTAGGAATCCAGTCTTGTGTGGTGACTAATCTATATTGTAAACGGTTTGTTTTTGTTTTTACATTCTGTAGTTTTCTCAGCATTCATATGATAGAAAATGGGCTCATATCCAGAAATGGATGGTAGGCTAAAACCTGCTGTCGTGCATGTTTTTGCCACTTGGAGAACTAACAGAGGATTTGGAGGAAGTAATTTACTAATGGTTTGCTGTGTGTCATTTCAAAGTGTTTTATTACTGAAAAAAATTACATATGAACTATATATGGATGTGGATATGCAGGGTACTTCATGGCAGCAAAAGGTGAACTATGAAATTAGATGCTTTTATTTAAAATGAAATGTTTATTGTTTCCACCACATGCTGGCATGAAGTCATGAATCTGTTTAAAATGAAATTGCATTAGTTTCAGTCTAGGTAAACATCTTTTCAATAGTAAATGTCTTTATTTCAGTTAATTTCTGGGGTTTGGACTTCTTACTTTTTCTTAGCAGACTTGCATTTAGTTGTTTCCTCTTTGAGTAATGTGGCAAATGGTTGTCTTATCACTGATGATTAAGTCACTTCTGTGACTTACAAAAACTAATTGTAAATGATTAAAAAAAAAACCCAAAAAAACCCCAAAACAAACCAGGATAAAAACCTCAAACCCTCCAAAAAACCCCATGCATCGCTTGCATCTTTTTACCACTTGCCCCTTGCTTTCAATTAATAAGGATAAAGTATTTGTCTGTTCCTTTATTTAGATTAAATCCACTAAGTAGGAAGGCATAGCGACAGTTGCGCTACAGTCCAAGAAAGCTGCTGTTCAGTTCATGCTAGCTTAGTTCCAGGCTGCTTTAGAGAGTTACTTTCACAAACTTTATGCGCCTCTTATAAAGGCACATGCTATATGTGAGTTTCTTTTTATGTTTTTAGGGAAGTGTTCACTGTGTGAATGTTTTGAATGATAAAGATTTAAGCAATACATGCCAAGACTAATCATCATTTCAAATAGTTAAAACTACCAGGACAGTTAATTGGCACTCCTGTTGAGAAATCCTAGAACTGTCATTAGAATTTTATTTACAAAAGCTGTGCTGACTTTGTTGTCTCTTTGCCTAGCTGACATTTGTGTGTATATTAGTTCTCATGTCACTTGTAAAGAACAACGTAGGTTTCTGTTGTCTCTTGGTGGAATGCGCTTTTGAATGCTTTTTTGCTGGAGAGCAAGGGTTTCCAAACTGTGGAACACAGATTGTGCTTGTGAGCAGTCTCACTTTGAAATTAATGCGAAGCAAGTGAATGTCACCTTTTTGCACACGAGGCACATCTGCTGCAGGAGGTTTCTGAGCAGACGTGCACTCCTTTCCTGGGTTGGGAGACCTAAAGTTTGGCTTAGATAAAGCGAATATTTCAAAGTTAAGTTCTTAGAAATCAAGCTTAATAGCTACCAGCGGCAGTTACGTCTTTGCAGTCTACACAGGAGTACTTCCTTTATCCTTTCACCTGAACATGCTGAACAGTTACTACTGACTTTCTATTTTCTGATTGTTTGTCAGGAAGAGACTTGTTACCTGAAGTAAATTAATTACAGAAAAGTACAGAAAATTGTATCAGAAGATGAAGTTTTGCATTATAAGAGCATATTGTTATCTGGGGTCTTATACTGGTAATTAAGAGGAATCTTAAATAGCAAACTGTTTGCAAGCTGCAGATGTTATGAACAGACTTGTCCATTTAGACCATAGGTACAAAGTGTATTTAGAATTGACAGTGATCTGACTATATAATGTGTTAAAAAGTTAGATAGCGTGAATGTTTGTTTTAAACCTCAAAGTAGATGCATAGAGAAGAAAGACTAAAATGTCGTTATGACATTAACCTCTTTTTTCCCTTCTTTGGGAAATTGTTTTCTTGCAGAGTATTAACTAGGCCTCTTGAATAGTCACAAAATAATATTAAAGAAGTTAATGTATCCAGTGATAATGTAGAAAATAACCATGTGACCACAAGCAGTATGGAAGCCAGCTTTAGACTTTAGATATCCGTCTATGATCTGGAGGCTGAACTTTTAACTCTAAAGAAAATGGGCTTACAATCTTTAGGATAGTTTGACATATTGAAAACTGTAGAAAATGAGTCATTTAAGGAAGGATTCCTAGTTTTAGAGCCCTGTTGTATCCTTCAAATGGGATGGTTTAAAATTAAGCTTATTTTTAATATGCTTACCTACTGTAACTAAGAATTTGAGAAGCTTATGGCAAGTGAAACATTTTAATGTTGATACCCGTAAATGTAAAATTTCCACTTACTAGAGTGACTGTAATTAACCTAAAGTAGGCCCTTGCTGTTTTGAGAAGACAGGGAAGCTCTAGGATAGAGGCTCCTAACTAATGCTACTTAGATAAACGACTTGCTGTTTTGGGGGGCACAGGAAAGCTCTAAGATAGAGAGATCCCTAAATAATTCTACTCCAGACAGCTCAGCCTTGGGAGGGCAGATGCACCAAGCTACAGAGATAAAGAGGCACCAAGAGGGCAACCAGACCAGAGCAAAACAACCTGGAAGGACACGGTACACGTGATCTTAGAACTGAGTCTGCGCAGAAACAAAGGTCAAGCGGCGGACGCTGGGATGAGGAGTATGAGCCTTCATCTTAGGACCCCCAAAGACCACCTGAGGATGCTGACAGACATGCGTGAAAGACATTAACATATGCTAATTAGTTCTTGGAAAAGTCATGACTATGCTAAGCATTTCTTGGAAATATAATGAAAATGTATATTGTTATTGTATTTAACCTGAAATGGCAGTGTTTGGCATGCATGTTTGGAGGAGAGATCCCCCTTGTGCCCCGCGCTGTAATAAAGAATACCTGCTTAATAGTCTTCCAACTATTGAGTTACTTCAATTCTGGCTTTTCACAGCATCAATGTTTAATTTCAAATTAGTTGTATTTTTGTCCTGCTGCTTCTCGCATATTCCTTTGTGTAAGCCAGAACGAACGTTCCCTGATCTTTCAATGGAACAAAAGATATTAAGGTACCTTAGCTAGCTGTCCTTCCCCCAAATTTTAGAAGCTGAGTTCATTATTTTCACTGTTATTGTAGAGCAGAACTACATATAAAACTTATAACTGATCAATTTGCTTAAGAAGCTTTGTGCTCATAATAGAGGAGAAAACCTGAAATATGTATGAGGAAACTGAGAATAATCATCTGTTAGGGCTAAAATAGCTTTGTAAAATGTTCACAATTTGACTGTAGTAATTATGTAGTAAACTTCTTACTCATGTAATTTTTTTTATTTTTAATTTCTTAATTTAAAAAATATTGTTCTTTTTTCTGCATTAATACAGCAATTAGAAGAAATATTGACTATTGAACACTAATTATTAATTACATTAACCCCCTTTATTTACATCTCCTAATGTAGTGTGTTGGCATACTTACCCAAATCCGATGAAATCACAGTTCTTTCGACTTCAATGAGTTTATGTGCCACACCAGATTACTCAAATTAATGCATAACGTTAAAAGTGCTAACAGCATGTTGCTCACTTTTGCTTGCTTTTACTGTGTCTTTTTTTTTTTTTTTTTCTATGAAGTAACTGTGCATTTCTTCTTTCTCAGGAAGATTCAGAGAGGGCCAGGTATTCTCACCGGTCCAGTCGACATTCATATTTGGTTTGTGTTCCAACTGTATAGTTTTCCTTTTCCATCATGGCCTTAAAAAAAAAAAAAAATGGGGGTTTTGTTTCATTTTCATAGGGAACAGATGATACTTTAACTCTTCCAAGTGGTAGCAGTTTTAGAGTCAGTATTTTAAGTTACGTAAAATGCTAGATGAACTTTGACATTATATTTCCATCAATGTTAACAATGTAGTTTATTTTTGTGTATTTCAATCTTTGCATTTAAAAAGAATCTCAATTGTCACATTTTAATTATTTGACTATGTTTTTACTATAAATACCTCATTTTTTTCCTCTACTACTTATATTTATTTACAGTATATTTTTGTTGCTGAAAATTGAATAGGCCTTTGGAAGCTATTTGGAAATATATGTAGTTCAGCAGTCAATGATTTGGAATAACATGTATTTACTAACAAGTTTTAAGAGTCATCTTTTAGTGTTACTCCAATCTAATATGATTTGTTTCTTTTTTAAAAAGCTGGGTAATCACTTACACAAGCTGAGTACTTAGGCTTCAGATATTGCCAACTAGTAAGAATTAGTTGTCTTGTCTTAAAATGGTGGAGTATTAAGATTCCTACAGAAGTTGTCAATTGTCTTATAATTACTACTACACATCAAACCTCATGGTCAGATGTGAAGATGCTATTAATGATCAAACAGTGGTCTAATGCAGATAAGTTTAATGTGGGGGAAGGGGGGAATCTTTCCTATTTCCCTATCTGTCGCAGAAATTCTGCAAACAGGCAAGTTTTATTAAATAAGTAAATACTACTGCTGACTCAGGGTCATCATGAATCAGTGCCACTTACTGAAGATGAGTAATACTGATCTGTAACTTGGGCTTTCATTCCACGCTGATGCTGATGGTAGTCTGCTCACTGTCTTTTCTTACACTTCAAGTATTACGGTGTTTCTATAATATTTGTAGAAGAAAAGTAGTAATACCTTAGGATACAATTTGAAGAGCAGTTTAGTATGATGCAGGGTTTTATTTCTCTGAGAATATGGGGATGTAGGAGTGGCAAACACCTGAATGATGCAAGGTATCCAGAAGACTGCCACTAGAAGTGTTTATTGTATAAGCTCTCCTATATCTTCTTTAGGTCATATGTGGTGCTAAAGATTGGTTTTATTGAGGGTTTGTAAACATTTTCCCAGTTTTGGTAGATCTGCCTAGAAATCAGCTTGTCATCGATCTGGATATATAGGCCAGGAGAGGGACAAATTACTAAAATAAAAGGGTTGGTTTTGTTTATTTTGAAAGGTGGAGTAAACTGTGTGACTTCAAAAAAAGTTATTGTCACTTACTAAGAGGTTTCACCAATTAAATGTAGTCTTAACTGAGTTTTGTGTAACATCTTGCAAGTCCTGGTGTTAAGTCTTTCTGCAATTTATCACACAGATATTTTTACCAAAGAAATTATTTACATCGGGTAGTGTTGACTACTTTGCAAACAGTAAATGGTTTACAGAAGAAGCACTTACAATACGCTATGTGGCAACACTTAAACTTGTGAGCTGGTACCAGTTTGCTCAGATGTGTTTTTGCTTTGGTTAACATACAAAATATACTGAGATGGAGATTGAGTAATTTACCCTTGACTAAATGGTGGGGCTTGAACTCAGCAGACAACTGAGCTTATTCTGAGTGTGCTTTGAATTTCTTTGACTGCCTCAGTGATTTTGTGCCTTCAGTGAAGATTAACAGTTATCATCAGAGGCTTTTAGAAGTTATTTTATATACTGATACATTTTTTCAATTTCATTGTTAAGAGTTCTTTGGATGTCAGTGGGTCTCACAGGAGCAGAGCAAGTACCCCCCGAAGGAGAGATCTTGCGGTGTGTAGCCTGGAGTGAGCATGCTCTGATGTGTTCACATTGTAACATTTCCCATGTATACTTACCAAAGCCATAGTTTGGTGGAAGCATGCTTCTTTGTAGAAAACAGTATTAACTGGAGTGCTGCAATGACTGATGTAATTTAACACTTTGTGATAGCAAGTTTGAGGGCTCAAAGAAAGTGTTAAGTCGTCTGTCTTGAAGATAACTTCAAATCTGAAGGAGATTAGACTCTCCAGTCTCTCTCTTCTAATGTCCTTAAAAGAGAAGTCAAAAAAGTGGCAAAGGTTGGGCATCAACCTTGATAGGTACAAAGATGTTGCTAAAAGTTATGGCAGGAAAGCTTTTATCTCGGTTATATTGCAATGTTAGTCTTACAGTCAAGGCTGGAATACAAACAAATTTTACTTTTTCAGAAATGGGTATTTCTGTATATTTTGTGGTATTCCTAGTTTAGGCAACTTAAATATTTGTTAGTAGACTGTTAAGCTGTTAATAGTTAAGTAAAGGTGTAAGTGCGGTGTTGTGATGATAAAGTTTTTATTAAAAAGCGTTCCAGCCTCAGAATGCCCTTTAGATTGGATAAATGGCATTCCTTCATGTATAAATTTTCATAATTAGTAAAATATGTTTTCTTGTAATTTCCATTTTAAGCCTTTTTAGTCATTCTTTGCAGAAAAAGCTAATTTTTATCTTTTTTTAACTTCATGATTTTAACTGCATTTTCTTTTACTTCAGTATGACAGTGCTAAGGATAGATCTGCAAGATACTCGGTCCCTGTATGTTAACGTTTTGCATGTCTTTGAGTGAAGACTGCTTTTGTGCTTTGTTTTTAAGGTGTAATGACACTAACTGGCTATTTTAAATTGTTGATTTAGAAAAAATACGTTTGTACTGTCACAGTTGCAGACCTAGAATAGCAGTACGATTCTAACACTTTCCACAGAATGCATGCATAAAACTTTGTCTGGGAGAAAATCTAATGAAGTCATGTACTGCAAACAGTTATCTTACAGTAAGCACTTTTTAGTATTATCTGTTACTTCTAAACTTTGTGGTGAAGTGACATATACAGATTAGACTTGGAAGACATACTTTTAATTAAAAAAAAAAGTGCATATGCATATATTAGTATTCTCCATTTCCATACAGAAACTTTACTCTAATGGAAAATTATTTCAGTTCTGAGAAAAAGCAGATGGTTTGTATACCTTTAGTTTAAAAAAAAATCCTCCTTATTGTTATGAAGTGATAGTATAATGCATCACATTTTCATTGGTATTACACCAAGTCAGATTTGCATGTGTCTCCTTAGGCAAAGAAAAGCACCAAGTATCACTAAAAGGAATATGCCAGCAGCTTAAAGAGCTGAATTTATTTAAACAGCAGCGTTACCAGAATTAGCTACAGATAGGCAAACACAATATAGTGCTTAAACTAGTCTATAATGTTAAGTTTTTTTAGTTTATTTATTGGTTTTGCATTTTTTGTGAAATGTGAATACTGGCTTAAGCCAAGTCTGTGTTAATCAGAGAGAAGGTTGGTTATAGTTTCACTTTTCAGTTCTTCTTACACAGTGCTAGAAGTATCGCCTATTATTCTAATCATGAAGTTAGAAGCTTCTGTGGTGTTTCCGTTGTAGGTGATAAATATCTTAAATCCTTATGTTTGACTTCTTTATATTTTAAGATTCAAGATGCTGTTATATAATGGTGTTAATTTTCTAAATTTTATTCTTAGAGTCATGGTTACGGTGAATCTCATAGTTCAAGGAAGAAAGCTGCTTATTCCCATAAAGATTTATTGGTCAGTTTTCTACTAAAGATTTATTATAAATATACTAACTGTGTAGAGTTATGTACTAATACAGTTGCAGATAAACTTATCAGCTTGCTGGCATATGGAGAAATATTTTCAGGAAAAAAGAAACCTCTAGTATAGACCAAATTCTGACCTGAAGCTGAGTTTGAAACTTGGCTCATGGCAGTGTAATCCCATGAATGGAATCAGCTGAATAGAAAGCATGTTCTGTTGGAGGCCTGTGGAAGGCTCTTGGAAATGTTTAAAAGTGGCACTTCTCTGCATTCGAGTTTACTCAGGATGGAGATGTGTTCTATTTACACTTTGTTCTCTATCAGTTAGATATATTTTAAATGTAGATGTAAAGCAGATTGCATTTACCATAAACCTTGATGTTAACCCAGTGAACTGTTGAGAAAGGCATGTGAATTACTGTGATCTTCCAAAAACTATTCTAGATGGTTCAGTGTTTAACATACGTGAATACAGTGCCAAGAAATTAAATATTTTTGTTATTTTTTTCAGAGGGTCTTCGCACTGATGGAATAGCAGTTATGTCAAGGGTTGGGGGAGTTAGAGCAGTAGTGAACACCTGTGAGATAAGGCCGAAATAATTTTTATATTTACTAATAATTATTTGTATTACAGGATTTGTCTGTGTGCTTTTGAGGTGCTGTTTTCCTATTCCTGCAGTCTTAAATGAGTGATATGATTCTTTCTACCTCCTATAGCCTATTGAGATAGGAAATGCCACTTTCTGAAAGCACTGCTTTATGCCACGTCTTTGTCACTGCTTTTTCTTCTTTATATGTATATATCAAATTTTTCCTCATATATGCATAAGTATGGATCTGTTTAGGAAGTGTCAAAAATCAGCAGAAATTAGCCAAAGTGTAATTGCTAGGTTTTCAGCATGCACACTTTGGTGTAAAGAACAGCGGTAGGGTACAGACTAATGCTGATCACATAAATGTCCATCCCTTATTAACCTCTTAGGAATTTCTGTCCTTTTCTCACCCCAAATGCTCTGATCCAGGGTGGCACCTAATGGAAAAATGATCAAGCAAATCATTGTACTAATTATTAGCAAGTTTTGTCAAATATGTTTTTCATGTGTTTCATGCTGGATTTGTCAGGGTTTATCTAAACTTTTCAGGGGTTTGTTATTTATTGGGGAGAAAAACCAAAACTTTTTACTCCTTTGGACAGGACATTAAAATATAGATAATGCTGCTCTACAGAGTACATACGTAGGTTTGGGGGTTTTTGTGCTTTATTTGCTTCAGAAAGTTACATGGATTTTGAGTTAACCGTAGCAGAAGTTTTTATGTCTGTAGAAGTTCTAAGCTTGGCAACGTTTTAGAATTGTTAAGACAGAACTTTTATTACAAGATCTACAGATGCTACCTTTGTTTTCTCTTTTCTTTTTTTTCCTCCTCACAGAGTGGAATTTACTATGATCAAAGGAATTATAGCAGCCTTAGATATAGTAAACCAGTTCCTTCCTACCATACTCGGGTCTGTCTCCTCTTCCTATATTCATTTTTTAATATCTATAAAATACATATATTTGGATTTGCTTACTAATGCTAGAAGAAGCAAACTTCTTTCTCTTTCCTTCTATAACACTGCAAGTTATGACAACTAGTAGTAGTTACAATTGTATTTCTTGCTTTTAGGGGTTGCCTTTAATAAAATGAGTGGATAACATGCAAGTTACCGTGTTCTGCATGTGTGGGGTTTTAAACTTAAAATAGCTTCTGTTTTGTGATTGCTGTATGTCATAAACAAAGCAACCAGCAGTTGTGATACTTGCATTTTCAAAGTCCTATTTAGAAAAACAACAAAAAAGTCTGAAGTTTAGCTCCAATGTACTACTTTCTTCTACAGTAATATAAATGATAAATCAATGATCTGTTGTGAGATGGGTAGTATGTTCTAGTACCTGCAGCTACTGTCGTGGTCAGGTTTAAATAAGTAGCTAGAGGAAATTGACGTGTCTTTTTAAAACTATTCAATTTCTTATCATTCTCTTCTACAGAACTTCTGATAAAACTACTAGATTGCTTTAATTAATGTTTTAGATTATGATTTCAAAGACAAAGTGTTTTCTTGGAATGTTTATCAGTGCTTTTCTTAAAGTTTGTGTATTACAGATGCAAATTTAGTATTTCAATATTTTAGAACTTTTGAAGAATATAGAGCAGTAGAAAAAAACACCTTAATGTACACAGAAAAAGTGTTTCTGACTTTTCCTATTCTTCACACTCCAGTCATCTTCTCTGTACAGTGATCCAGTGGCAACAACTAGGAGTTACAGGGTTAGTACAATGTAACATAATGTCTTGCTGATCTTTAGATACTTGAATCGCCCTCAAATATGAAATTACACTTTTCTTCATAGGTGTCTCCTTCTGTACACACTGGTTTGATAAGAAGTATCAGTTTGGTTCGTAAGCACCATTTGCATGGTTGCCTTAAATTTGTATTGTATGGCGGTGAGGCTTGACAGTATTACACATGCATTTTTTTCATATTTTTAAATAAAGCTGCAGCTTGTGAGTGTCATTTTTGTGGAGGCATTCAGTTTAATGTTTTTAACATTGTTAAATGGCCTTGTTAAAGTATTTTAGTAGTTGCTGTTTTACTGATCTTTTTACAGACAAGCATAAGGTTTATGAATACAACAATGATGTTGAACTCTGGGGTTAGAACAAGTTAATCCAAGCATACTAAATAATAACTGCATGTATAATACTAAAAAAAAGGATTTAAAAGAAGAAGCTAATCCGAGTGTTTGAATGGAAAAAATCGTTGTCAGGAGATTACAGAAATTTGTGGTAAATACACTTCAAATACTTTCAAATAAGGTGCTATATTTAAATTTAATAATCATACAAAAATGTAATAGGATGAAAACCTAACCTGCATATTTGCAAAATAAAAAGTAGCTAGAAGTGCCATAGGAAAGGCTAAGATAGCTCTACAAAAAGTTATCGTCTTTAAAAAGTGACATGCATGCCTGAAACTTTATGCCTTTTGCTGCTACAAGAGTTCAAATCCAACTTCTACTGCCATTTCGAGGCATGCTAAAACTATGTAGAAAATAATATTCTAATGTAATATTTTTATGTAGTCATTGAGGTCCTCTTCTGCACTTAGATTGCAAACAGAGATAACTTTTTTGGCTTTGTGCCAGTTCTCAAGAAAACATTAGAAGATCCAGTGAGAGAATAAGACTATAATGGCAGCTATTACATATAATTCTAATATACATGCAATACTGATTTCTACTAGACATCCCTTCATAGACAGGGGGAAAGCAGCATGAGACTAATTACTTTTTTTAAATTGTGTTGCCCAGAGCTGCTTTTATTATCCACCGCGTAAATAGATTTCAGCCTTGCACTTTAGAATCAGAGAATCATTTAGGTTTGAAAAGACCTCTAAGATCAAGTCCAACTGTACCATATTCTCCTTCGGGAAAACCTGCATGGGTGAGCACAAAGTAAAACTGAGAAGTATACAATATAGCTTCACTTTCAGGGTGGATTAAAACCGTTGAAGGCTTCAGAAGAGTAAAACCCAAATTGCAATTTAAATATTTAATTTTCTTCTGAAAATAGTTGATTTTTTTTTTTTTAATATTTGGCTGTTTTTCAAGGGAATTCTTAGATTTATATTTGGAAATAGATGTCCATAATAGGAGGAGGAAATGCTGCTGGAAATTTTAAAAAACTGTTCGTCCTTTCAAAAAGTATAATGTTAACTGGAAAATGCATAGATGGAGCAAGATTAAAGTACATTACAGTGCATAAGAATTACAGTGTATGAGTGGCATAATTATTTCTGAGACTGAATATAAACAGTATTTGATTCCCTCTTTCTCAGGCATCTTTGTGTGGTGATGGAGTACGTAGCTCATATAGTTCTCGAACTGTAAGTGTAATAGGCTTTTGATTGTTTCTTTTGTTATCTCTGTTTTCTGGAGACAAAAATCTATGAAAATTGTGAAAATTTCCTTCATAACTTTTCCTTAGCCATCTGAATACAGTTATTCTTCAAGAGCAAGCTCAATTCGAAGTAGCCCTGTGGTGAGCGTTCCTCTTGCATGACTTGCTGAATGCTTTGATACTAACGCACAACGATTTTGAGTATTTACACTGGGGATCGTTTTACTGACCAACACAAGGTCTTGATTTTTCAATTCCGCTTCCAAAAAAGAGTTTGTCAGAGAGGTGATTTTTAAGTGAGATGTAAAGTTTTGGCAAGAAGATAGTAAAGTGTAGAAGCAAGGAGGAATTTGCTTTTCTAAGCATCTTTTAAATGCCTATAATTATATAATTGGAAGCGGTTGGAAACTGGAGTATAGCAAGTTGTTGGAGTTACCACCTTACCTCATAGTTGGGCAGGCATGTGAAACTGTTACTACATGTGCAAAAGTGTTTCATTTTAGAAAGAAGACTGAGGCAAACTTTGTTGTATCATTCAATAAGAAGTAGCTAGCTCATTGTTATGGTGACCAGTATTCAAAATGGAGAGATATTTGTTCCTGATCTGTATCATGTTAAAAGGGTCATTCCAAAGATAGCTTTTCATGCTGAGAAGTGATTTTTATGTACTTCTACCCTGTTTCTGTCACAGAACTGTCTTGGTTTCATTGGTACAGCTGCTCGTTTGTCATACACACAAAGTAGATCAGTGTTCTGGTATAGGTTAAACTGAAATGTTCTGTCCTGTTTTCATTTTTCACATATTTTTAACAATGTTATAAAGACTAAACAAATAAAACCAGATTTGTTGGAGACTGGATGTTTTTACCTACAAAAGCTGTCAGGGTGCATTTTTGAGGGTAGGAGAAAGGGAATTTTGCTGTTGCTTTATGAAATTTCAAAGACTAAGAGGTATTAACATCCATCTCTAAAGTCTTTTGAACTGTGAAAATACTACTTGTGTTAGTTTCTCTTAACATGAAGTTTCGTTTCTTAAAAGTATGTACCTTGTACATCTATAGGAATATATATAGCAGTTCTAAGTATGTATATGTGATACCTATAATACCAAGGTACCATTCACTCACACTAGTGAATGTTTTAATAGACTTAAAAGTATTTGTTTAAAGAAATAATTCTGAAAAGGGTATTGAGTAGATTAAGTAAAAATCTTATAACTTTCACTTTCTACTGTTTCTATGGCTAATATTTTGGTTTCACTCTGGGTAATGCATTGCAAGTCACTCAGTACTCACTGGAAATCAAAAGAGAAAGTAAGAGAGAAGATGGAAACAGTAGAAAACACTGAAGAACTGTATGGTGAATCTCCATCTTAAACTGTGTCGGTTTTGATAAACCTGTTGAGAAGGATACTGAAAGTGGCAAAGGTATAGAAGGAGGAACAGTAAGGTTTATCAGACATACAGACTTTTCAATAACAAAGATAAGTTGGTTTTGAATGAGAGAGTGCAGTGTTGTCAGATCGTGTTTGTAGCCCTTGAGTTGTTTGTTTGTTTGCTGTAAGCGTAATTCATATAAGCAGAATTCTGCTTCGCATCTTTTCACTTTCATTTCACAAAGTATAATAAACAAGTCAATTTTCTGACTGCAAAAATTTATTTACTTACATGGAAAAATATATTACTTAAAATGTAGATGTAGTTATAGCTGGAAAATTCTGTGTCGGAGAAATAGGACATAACCAAGCAGTGACAAAAAAATACAAATTCTGTAGTCCTAAGCATGCATAACCTGATACAGGTGTTCATCAGTAGACTGTTTTATATGTAACTGGTCACATCTGCATAAAAAACATCTCACTATCTTTTAATGAGAATAAAATAAGGCTACATCACGCATGTATCTCAAGTATAAAGAAATAAAGAATTATTTTTTTAATGGTGAAAATGGAATAAGGACCATATATTTTCAAACTGTTCATTTAAAGATACATTCTTTCATATGATCACTTTTAAAACTAAATATAATATTCACAGCAACTTTTTACTTCAAAAAATAGAATGTTATCAATATGACACTTTTGATAAACCTACTCTTCTCATTAAATACTATGTTTAATGTGCATAATGTTTTCTAAGTTAAATATTTCACTTGAAATTCCCATGGCATTGTAATGACTGTAATGCGGTTAGATATATTTTTGCCTTTTTTTACCAGTGGTATGTAGCATTAGCATTTTTTCCTCACCTGTCTGACATACAGCTTTGAGGAGTAAGCTTGTCCTCTGTAAGGCCTCGTAAAATTATCAAGGAGAAGAAGCTTGTATCATACTCATAATTAGTTGTGTTGGGATTGTGTTGATTTGAAAAAAAGACAACATTTGTAGAGAAAAACAATAACTTTCATCAACTTCTGATTATATAATCTGTTTTGATGTTCTACAAACCTTTATTTAAAAAAAGGTAATTTTTGTAGCTTATGTTTGGCACTATATTAGCACTAAACCCTTTTGTATCTCTTGATTGTATTTTTTATATTACTCAAATAAGGAAAATGAATCAATAATAAATGTTCACTGCCTTTAGTTTTAGATACCGTAAACTGTAAGAATAATAAACATGTGAAGAGAGTGTTTAAAGACAATGCATATGCTGACTAAAGTATTCATATCAGTGGCACATTTTATTCATTTAGATACATTTAAAGTAGCAAAAATCTAAAGGTGTAATCAAGATTTTACAGTCGTGAACTGCTAGAAAAGCTAGAATAAATTGCAATAATGGAGATTCAAGTTAGGATTTCCCATTTGTTCTTTTAAATAAACTTCATTCTGTGGTATCATCTTCAGTTCTCTTTCACCCTTCTCCTTATCTTTTGAAGTCTTCTGATTTTTCTGATCAAAGTGAAACTGCTGCTGACTATTTTAGTCGTTCCAACCGCAGGGGAAGCATTGTTTCCGATGCAGACGATGTCCAAGGTTTGAATAGTGTGAGTGTAATGCTTGTTGTTATATTGTGGGCAATACAGCCAACTTACTAACCATGGATTTTCTTTCAAACACTGAAAGTAAATACTGTAAAAGCACTCAGAGTTATTAAATGGCACATAGGGGTGTTTTGTTTTTTTTTTTTGAGTGGTTGGGTCCAATTTTTATACAAAAATGTCTGCAGTCTGAATTTTTAAAAAGCATGCTGCTTTATTTATTTTAAAGGTTTTTGCCTTTTGCTAGAAGCATGTGACAAGTGTTAACACTTCACATTTTTTGTGTGTGATAAGCTTAAGATTGTTTTAAATGTAAAATGTTGGGGGTTTTTTCTTGTGGAAATTAACAATGTCTAAGTCTTTTGTGTATTTTTGGAATACTACTACTTGGTTTAGTGACAAAAATAAATACTTTAAACAGTACCCTCTTTAGTGCATTTTAGTCTTAATTTACCCAGGAGGAGATTTTGTCAGGATCCATTACTGGAGCACTCATTGTTGGCTGTGCTCTTGCACTGAATTCCAAGTCACTGGAGCATATCACAGGACAGGTTGCTTGGGCATCTCTGTAGTCTGAACGTTGTTTACAACAAACCTAGCTGCCTTTTCTTTATTGCTGTGTTAAGTTCTAGAAGCCGTTGTTACTTCCAGTCAAAATGTTTGTTCTTAGTGGTGGAAAAAATAGGGAAATTACTGTTCTTGGGCATGTCTTAAAAATAATAGTCACAGTGCATGCAGCAGGAGGAGAGGTTGAGAGAACTGGGCTGATGTAGTGGAGCAAAAGGGACGCTACATGGTGATCAGCAGCCCGCAACTGCTTGATTAGGTAAGAGCCAAACTCTGCATACCCATGCCAAGCAGTGCAGCAAGGGGCAGCAGCCTTGTACTGCAGTGTAGGAGGTTCAGACGAGCCACTGAAGCTCCAGAAGGAGCTTAGCGTTGCACTCTTGACAGGTTACACCAAGACTGGAGAACCTCCATCCTCAGGAGCTGGTGAGACTTAGCTAGATAAAGCCACAGCTGACCTGGACTGTTGGCAGTAGTTCTGCTTTGGAAGGGAGACTGGACTAGGTGACTGCTAGAGTACCCTGACAACCACTGTTTCTGCAATTCTGCATTTAGATGATTTAATACTCTCATAGTGCTATGTAACTTGTACTGTAATCATGTATGGTATTTATCCATCTGTACATGCTCCAAGCATGACAAAGACCAATCATTTCTCCAGTTTAAATTTTAGCTTTTTTTCTTCTCTCTAATAAGCCTGCTTTTCTGAAATTAATGCTCTGCCAGAAGAAAGTGTGGAGGCTGAGACTGGCAATTATGCTACCTTCTCAGTTGCTTTTCTCATCATCATTATTATGTAATATTAGATTCCAAAATTATTTTTTTACATAAGTTATTCCAAATGGAAACTTTAGATCAATTGGTTTCTTAGCATCATTTTACTGTCACAGTGATGACAAATATTTGCAACTTACAATTTCAGTACATCGTCGGAGATGGTGAATTTGCCATGGAAGTGCAATGTTGCTTCTGTAGAAGCCACAATAGAAGGAAAAAGAAAGATCTCATAAAGTAACATCTTTTTCTACTGTAATTGTAGCAGATTCCCAAATCTCCTCTTCCTGAGTTGGGAGAAAAATAGGTGTGTTAGGAGAAGCCAGATATTTGACATACCATATGTAGTGTATCATACTTGTTTTAGGAAATATGCCAACATGTTAATGTCTTAATTTAATTCCACCTATTTGGATTCATAAATGTAGAAAATATGGAAATCTACAATATAAGTTTACAATATCAGAGTTTCCTGAATAAGAGTAGGGGGTGGTAGTTCTTTTGCTTAGGCTTCAATACATAAAGTCTGAAATTATTTTGTAGGTTGATGTTGATTAGTACACTTTAGTTACGGGCTTTTACCTGAATTGTTTTTGTCCTAATGTAATTGCAGGTTTCACGAAAGAGACTGAAGGAACAAACGTGTTTTCTAGTAACTAGAACATTCACACTGGTGTCACTGATTGTCTGAAGTGCACTTGCATGAAGCTTCATGTTTGTTATGCCACCAAGTGTTGTAGTCACTACCCTGTTCAAATTTAAAATAGTGAAACGTGTTTTTTTGAACAGCACTGTAATATTGGTAACGACTTCTTAAAAACTTTAAAAACAAGCTTCTGGCTTTTACTTTACAAGCATTCCTTTGTTTTGCAATTGAGGTAAAAACTACTTTTTCAGGGTGAATATTTTTTTCCTATCTTGATCTATGCTAGCTTCTGGAATTTCTTTTTTTTTTTGTTGGGTCATTTTTCATTCTTAAATATTTCTTAGTATCTTTGACCAGAAGATGGTGCCTCTGTAGTCCCTCATTGCAAAAGGTGTATAATGATCACTTTCCCTTTTCTTTCAGCTGGAAGAAAAGAGTGAAAAATCACATTCAGAAATATTTTCAAGGGTAAGAATTTTTGATCTAATAATTAGTGAAGTCAGTGTTCAGCCTTAAATTTACAAGTAGTAAAATAGTTCCAAAAGCATAAACACTGTGTTTTTTAATAGAGGGTATTTTAGTCATTTTTTTAAGAGCTTGCGAAGAGATATTTTTAGGCATATTTTTTATCTACAAAATTAATACTTTGCATCTTTTATCTCCCAAGGAAAGAATTTAATTCTTTAGTTTACTTTTAGCAAGTATTAGTTTCCTGTCAAATTTATTTTCTTTCAGAAATATTTAGCAGGAAAGGTTAAATTTTAAGAGGCTAGCGCTATAAAAATTCATATGCTAGATTCTATGGGAGACTTTCTTCTGAATTCTGGGTGGTAGAAATTATAATTTTTAGAAATAGTTTGAACTTATACAGTTTTTCAACACCAACAGCCTTCTTATGCAAGTCTTCTGAACAGAAGACTCAAAACTGTGATGTTATGATAACTGATAAGTCAGAAAACCCCACATTTCACCAAGAAGAAACTTAGCTGCTGGAAAATAATCAATCGAAAATATTGTCTATAAGTTAATATTAGGAAATGGTAAAAACATGAGAGAAAAGTGTTCTATGACTGTGAAGTAATTTCTGAAGTGTAACATCAAGTATACCCGAAATGACAGTAGGAGTCCTGATATGGTGTTTTTCCTTTTTTAAGCCATCATCTCGCAATTCAACAAGTGCAACCCCTCTGAGTGGCAACTCATCTAGGAGAGGAAGTGGAGACACAAGCAGTTTGGTGGATCCTGATGCCTCCCTCAGTGAATTGCGGGTAAACTGCTTTTTCAGAGAATTTAGAGCTAGTTTAAAATTTTGTGTGTGGTTAGGAGGAACTTTTCTTTGCTACAGAATTTCTTAATAGTAAGAAAAAGTTACGAGGATGTAATTTTTAATCAAGATTTCTGTTTTTATCTTGGTAGTTGTATTTGGTATGTTCATATATATTTATGGTGCAAACAGTTCAGCTTATATTAAAAGAAGACTTTGTTTGTCAAATTTGAAACAATTCTGTTGTATTTGAGATGGCTTGGATTCAGGGATGTAAACAAAATGTTTATTTCCATCTAGTTGTGAATTAATTATTTCTGTGAATTATTGCAGGCTTTGGCAATGGACAGAAATGCATGTAAACCTTTTAATGCTTTTTCGACTATAAATTATTTCCCCATACTTCTTATGCAATGGTTCATTCCTATGTCCTGCAGGATATCTATGATCTTAAGGACCAGATACACGATGTAGAAGGGAGATACATGCAGGGACTTAAAGAACTGAAGGTATCAGGGCTCCTCCCAAGCATGCATTCTGTATGGGTATTTCTGGGTAATGGAGATACCACTGGTTCCACTAACCATGTAAGGCTTTACTAACAAGTTTTTAAATTTCTTTAAAGCATGTATCTAACTTCTAATGCATAGAAAGCATCAGCTAAAATTTGTCATGCAAGTAAATTTTTAAGATGTGATTTAAATGTACATGAGATAGTAATTATTTTGAATATCCGTTTATTTGCTAAGAAAACTCTGAAAAATATAAATTCAAACTCATTATCTTACCAGAAAAAACCTGCTAAAAATATGAAAGTTCAATACTATTTTAACATAAACCAAATAATGAACATCTACTATGTATTGAATGGGAAAGAAAGAAATGGAATATACTTATGAGAAAATAACTTAAGAAATTAAGAATTAGTCTTCCAAGTTTCCTCAAATACTATGTTTATAAAGTAAAACCAAAGCCATTCTGAAAAAATGTGCTGAAATGCAGCTGGGCAGGCATATTGATTGGAGGAGAAGATTATTTTTGTTTTAATCTTTTGCCATTCCAAAAGAATTTTTTTTTTAAGCTTATGTTTACATTCCCATTATTTTTCTCGAAATTATAGGTTAGTATTTTCAGCATTAGGTTAATGAGATTTGTTTGTATTTTGAGTTTAAATTAGTATGTATGCTTTTCTTTTGTAAGTTTTCACACAATTAACAGTTTGCAGTTAAATATGGTTATTTTCCCATCTTATATGTTGAAAGGAAGCTGAAAACAGCAAATCATGTGGCTTACAAATATTTTTCGGGATATTTGTTCTGTTCTCTTTTATACTACCTAATTGTGAATGACTCTTAAAGTAGAGATCTTTACATGGACATAAAACAAATATGGAGAGAATGAATTTAATGAATGCTGCTTGTATTAGAGCATGTAACAGTGATATATTTAACAGCTTCCTTGAATTTCCTTGGTTAAACAACATACTAGATGATATAGTAAAGAGAAAAGATGTAATTTGAGCTGTTCAGTGTAGCAAAAATTATTTCCTCTTTAGAGGATAAGTAACCTTGAAACTCATAGCCATATGCTCAGATGAAGTACATATTGTTTTAATCATATTGCCATATGAATATTGAAAGGACTTCAAAAAGCAGTGGATTACAAGATTATTAGACATAGCTATAATTGTGCTGAACTTGAATGAAATGCGAGATTGCTTCATATTTTCAGAATGGATCTAACTCACACTTTTGCATGTTTGGCATCTCATGACTACTGTTCTGAATCATTTACAAATGCACTATTATTTATTGTAATTCATCACAGTTAGCAAAGAGCAGGTGTACAATAGACATTAAGGTCTTGTTCTACGCTTGGCTTACGAAATTGAATTGCATTTTATGCTATTGTTAATACTGAATAATATGTTCCCAAGTTAATGTGCCTTCCCTAGAGATGAAGAACCTTTCTTTCTAATTAAGAAGGTGTTGCCTTTTTCTCAGCTTGTGCTTCAGCAGTTTTGTTTGGAGTATGTTAGAGTTACTAGGATACCTGTTTTTACACTTCTTTTAAGTGTGTTTTCAGTCGTTGAGTAACAGTGATTTGTAGTCGCACTACCTTCACATCTCTGTGGCTGCCCATCCCTTGTGCTGCTAAGAGTGTGGTTTTTACCTGGCTACAGATCTGCTGGGTGTCAGCAGAATAAATTCTAATGTGGATAGTTCTGATTCAGTTACATCTTCAAATCTTTTAATGTCTTCAGTTCGATTCTTTCTATATTCCCTTGCATCAACTAGAAAGGAATCCTTTTTCTTTCCTCAAAATTTTTCTTTTATGCAGTTAACGGAGCTGTCTTCTGATGTCTACTGGGTTTAATTGTCTTGTTCTAGCCAAGCAGGCTAATTTGCATAGCACTCTGGCTTTACTTGATAGAATTATGGGTGGTATTTCTTCATAGCTTTAGATTATGTGCAGAGCCCTATCCATTTTCATTCCAGCCTGTTCCCATCACTTCATCCTTTGGCATCCTACTGCCTCATTCAAGTGCTTCTGAAATTCTTCCAGTTATGGAAGATTACTGAAGCTATGTGGAATTCTGGAACCATAGGGAATATGTGTAATACTTGAAAAGAAGGAACAGTTCCAAAGAAGGCTTAGCAATGTTCCAGATTTTTTTAACTGGTTGGAGAGTCTTAGGTGTAGCTTAGAGTCTTTCTCAGAAGCAATTCTCCTCTTCTGTCTCAAAATAAATTTATTCCTCTTCGATAACGGTGGATTTTTCCCCCCCATTAACTTGTTGATTAATGACACTTTATTCCAATCTTTTAAGCCCCAACCTAGTCTCCTCTTCAAGGCTGGAGTCCTGGAGTATGTGGCATACAATGAGGCCTTGTTACGTCTTGTGGGGGTGGGCAGCAGTATCATTGCTGGTTTCAGCTGCCTTATAGAAGTTTGTGGAGAAGACAGGACAGACACCTTTCAGAGGTGCACAATGACAGGGCAAGATGCAACAGACAGAAGTTGCATTGTAAAGGTAGAAATTCCAATTAGACCTCAAGAAAAAGACTTTGCACAAGGAAGACAGTCAGATACTGGAGCAGGTTGTCCAGCAAGGTTCTGCAGTCTGCATGCCTGGAGATACTTAAAATGGACTGGAGATGAGCCGTGAGCAGCCTGATCTTGGTTAGCCCTCTTTAGTTATGAGATTGGACTAGATGGTATCCAGAGATCTGCGAAGCTAAGTTACTACATGACTCCACTCTCCACACTCACAGAAACAATCACATCGGAATTTTTTCCTAGTTGTACTTTTTGTTAAATTTTGTGTCTCCCCATAAAAGGACTATAGCATTTATTTAAATTGTAGTATTTTCTTTTTTCCTCTAAATTATTCTTTGAAAGTCTTTGGAAGGTTTGCTGTCTCTGACATTCTGTTTTACCGATATTTAAAAAATTTGTCATGTTTACACCATCACAAAAATGTTTTCTGTGATTTTAATGTAAAACTTAAGAATTACTTGAATGCACTTACGTGTGTTCTTTTTTTTTTATTTTCTTCTATCTTGTCATGAATCTTCTTTGCTGTTTGCTATTTACTGCTTCCCAGGTGATAATGGTACCTTTCTTATCTTTTCATTACTTGTAGTGCCTTGTCTTTTCTGATCTGTATTCTATCAGGATATGTATTAAGTTATTTTTTCTGGGGTTTCTAAAATACTGTTTTTCTCCAGCACAAAATTCCAGAATTTAGTGATTGGAAGAGAGAGATAAATACGTAGGACTATGATAAAATTTAGAGTTACAGAATAATGAAGGTTGGAAAAGACCTCTAAGATCATCCAGTCCAACTGTCAACCCAATACCACCATGCTTGCTGAACCATGTGCTGAAGTGCCATATCCACGCGTTTTTTTTTTTGGTTCCTGTTCCAATGTCTGACCACTCTTTCTGTGAAGAAATTTTTCCTAATATCCAAACTAAACCTTCCCTGACACAACTTGAGGCCATTTCCTCTCGTCCTATTGCTAGTTGCTTGGGAGAAGAGACCAACACCTGCCTCACTCCAACATCCTTTCAGGTAGTTGTGGAGAGCAATGAGGTCCCCCCTCAGCCTCCTCTTCTCCAGACTAAACAGCCCCAGCTCCCTAAGACAGTCCTCATAAGACTTATTCTCGAGACCCCTCACCAGCCTCGTTGCCCTGCTCTGGACACGCTCCAGCACCTCAATGTCCTTCTTGCAGTGAGGGGCCCAAAACTGAACACGGTACTCGAGGTGCGGCCTCACCAGTGCCGAGTACAGGGGGATGATCACTGCCCTACTCCTGCTGGCCACACTGTTCCTGATACAAGCCAGGATGCCATTGGCCTTCTTGGCCAACTGGGCACACTGCTAGCTCATGTTCAGCCAGCTGTCAACCAGCACCCCAGGTCCTTTTCTGCCAGGCAGCTTGCCAACTACTCTTCTCCAAGCCTGTAGCGTTGCATGGGGTTGTTGCGACCCAAGTACAGGATCTGAGTGTCACCAGGGCGTAGGCTAACATTGCAGTCGCAGAGCTGAGAGAACTGTTTGCGGCTTTCCTGAGATCCGGGTGGACGTGAGGGCTGTGAGCATTAGCATGGGGTAGCTCTGTCTGTAGACATCCTGCACCATCCCAGCTGGAGGGGCCAGGGAGACAAGGAGGTCTCGGCTGGGCCATATGCACATGCAGGAGGAGGCATTGAGGCAGTTGTGCTGACCAAATGGTTGCTTCCCATTTTCTCTAATAAAAAAGGCAATGTGTGAGATGCAGTCCCTGGGCCTCTGTTCTGGCTGAGTTTCTGCATATGTCGTTTGCAGTTCAGCTTTCCAGAGAGCTCATTCCTGGAACTTCTGCTGAACTCAGTGGCAGCTGTGGATGCTCAGCACTTCTCAAACTCAGGCTGTTAAGCTTTATAGTTCTGTCAGCAGGACCAAAGCATTAAATAAAATAGGGACTTGCTGAAATTCAAATACTGCATGAGAAC